AACAGCTTAGTCTGAGCGAATTTCTGCCAATGAAATACCTTTCTTAAGCGAAGGTCGCAGGTTCGAAACCTGCATGGGCCATCATATAAGTTTTGTTATATTTTATTTTGGAAATACTTATTTAATTAAGATAAAAAATTAAAATGTCGTCGTCCTGTCCTGGCTTCGTCCGTCCCCTTGTTTTATATATATATTGAGAATTGACTTTGTGGAGTGTGTTATCCACAATGTCATTCTCCGCCACAGCCAAAATCCCTCAATTTCAGCCCCTTCCTCTCAACTCCAGATCCAATGGCAATGGGAACCCCCTCTTCTTCAGATCATCCTCCAGATTTCTCGGATCTACGCTGGGGATTCGCTTCCCCTCCCTCTCCTCCTCCACTCGCCGCCGTCGATCCTCCACTGTTGTCGCCGTCGCCGACGATGTCAAGGACATGGACAACAACCTCAAACCCTCTTCCAATCCCAATCCGGTACTCTTCCCAATTTCTTGCCGCACCTGTTTCTGTTTTCATTCCAGTTTTCTTTTTTTCTTAATCTTAGATTCATTCTTGGTTTCCATATTCTTTAGCAACAAATTTCACTTTAGTAAGGCCCTGAAATCCATCTAACTTTCCGGTGTGGAAAATGTAAGACTACCCAAAGTATCTCTCCTATGATATTGTCACGTTGAAGTACTGCAGAAGAAAAAATTGCAAAACCCAATCCAGTTAACCTTGTTAACAGTATTTTGAAACACGAAAAATTGGCTTATCAAATTATCTATCAGAGTCATGAAAAATATTCAACAAAAACAGAGAGATCTCTCGTACCAATGGAGATGAGATAATTATCTCTTATATAGTCACGATAAAATTTGGCAGAATAAGCAAAACCCGTAATTAGTGGAGAAACCATAACCCCAAGACTGTAAAGTAGCCATGGCCATGGCCATGGGAGTGAGCTTCAAAGAGCGGTAGTAGCAAAGTGGAAGTTCGGAATAAAACCCTAAAAATAATAATAATAATAATAATAAGTAATACAAATTTTGCATAATTTAAAATTAAATACATCTTTTCACGTCAAAGAAATTTCATCACCAGAGAGAGACAAGGGAGCCAGTATTTTTTGAAAAGAGAAGAAGGCACCTATCCTTAAGTTTAGGGAATAAAAGTGTATATTGCCCTTAAAATTATTATAATCAAGTTTAAAAATTAATATAATTAATTATAGTAATTAATATAATTAATTGTCATGTATCTCTTTTATATCTTCTTTTATTTATTGTTCTTTAATTTTTTTTTTGGATATGTTTATTTATACTGTTTAATTAAAATGAATTTGTACTAAAAAAAAATTAAATTGTTATGAATGTCTAAATTAAAGTTATAATTAATAAGGCTACATCAAAATTATTATAATAAAGTTTAAAATTGAATATAATTAATTATGATTACTAATGCATTTTTTTAAATAAAATTAAATAATGATAATAATTAAAAATAATAACACTAATTAATTGATTTGTTAAAATATATACTTTAGTTCATTTTTATTCCTGAACAATTTATAGGGGAAAACAATGTAAATACGAAAATTTTAAAAGTAAAATAGGTCTGAAAATAAATTAAAAAACAAATGTAGTTTAAGTAACAATTTCTGTTTTTGAAAGATTAAATAACAAATTTTAAAGTTAGGTACTTTTTCCAATTTCAAGTCGAGTTTTTTTTTCTCCTCAAAAGTAAGTAAAGAAATCATGTAACTTTTCAAGCGAGATTTACAAAATTTTTAAATAGCATTTTTAATATCTAAAACTATTTTATTACCTTGAACGTTTTATTTCAGATTTAGAGGGAAGGAAGAATTGTTTACAAAGAGGAGAGAGAAGATAGCGAAGGAAAGAAAAAGGAAAAATGTAGCCGTGCTGTGTGTTGTGCGATCCTCCTAAATCGTATTCCCTTGATGCGATTTATTCTAGTCGTAACAAACCAACCATCCGCCGTTTCAAAACTACGTCACTTTTGTTTTGTTTCATTTTCCTACAACTACATCACTTTTTTTACCGACTTAAATCTCGCCTACGCTGCATAGTCTCCTCTGTCATCTCACCTTCCCTGGCTTACCTTTTCTGAGAAAATTTTCCTGCAGGGATTGTCAATTTTCCCGGAAATTTTGATGGGAAAAACTGGATTGTTTGATTTGGAGACGCAATTCGCCTTCTATGGCGCATATCACAGCAACCCAATCAACATTTTCATCCACGTTCTGTTTGTGTGGCCGATTTTCTTCACCGCTCTCATGTATTTGTATTTCACCCCTTCTCTCTACAGCATCCCCAAAACCCTTTGTGGGTTTGAGCATGGCCTGGTTTTGAACTTCGGATTTCTATTCACTTTAATCTGCGCTGTATCTTATGTGGCTTTCGATAAGAGAGCCGGGTCCATGGCCGCCTTGCTTTGTCTCGTCTGCTGGGGTGGAGCAGGCTTCCTCGCCAACAGCCTTGGCTATTCTCTCACTTGGAAGGTAATTTCTATCTCTCCTAACATTCAAGTTACTATCAGATTCATGTTCATCTATCTCTCTTTCTCTCCCATGGCCCCGATGTCGATTTTGTGTGTGGGTAGGTTTGAGTTAAGATGTACAGATTTGACAATTTTCTTACATTCAGGGTTTTTATTAGTTGGATTGAAATTTATTGCCTTGGGGGGGTTCTTTACTTTCTATCAGTGTAAGCTTGCAATTGGGATATATGGCAAGCGTTGGAAACAGCTCAATCTGATATATTCTGGTTGAAACTTGGAGATGTGTTAAAATTTGACATCAAAATGGCAGAAATTTAGGGCCTTGTCAAACAGCACTTGGCGTTTGATATTGCTGCCACTTGCCAGGGCAGTTGGTTGGTTGATAATAGTTAATTATGAGGGATACTTGGCCTCATTCTTCAACAAAATTTCAAGATCATTCAATCCTTGGAAATTGTAGCGTTTCTATTGGTAACTTAACACCTAACAGTAACCAACACTTGTCAATGGAGAACACTTTTCAGTTTTCAGTACTATAGGAATGTTCAATGTTTCATACTCTTTTAACCAAACTCTATTAATTTATGCTATTTTGCATGCTAAATTATCAAATGAGAGTTTGTTTGAAGTTTATTTCTTTTTGTATATCAGGTAGTACTGGCTGCTCAGTTGTTTTGTTGGACCAATCAGTTTATAGGCCATGGAGTATTTGAGGTTAGACAGGTTACTCCATCTCAGTGAATTGATTCCGTATCTTCATGAATCTTAAGTCTCTTAGTTTATATTTTTTTTCTTTTTGATAGAAACGAGCACCGGCTTTGTTAGACAATCTTGCTCAAGCCTTTCTTATGGCTCCTTTCTTTGTATTTCTGGAGGTATATTCTTTATCCGGTCCTCCTGTGTGTTGAGAGTTATTTTTTGGTCTGGATAATGGAGCATATTTTTCTTGTTTCTGTTGGTTCGTTGCAGGTTCTTCAAAATCTATTCAGATATGAACCATATCCAGGGTTTAATGCAAGCGTGCAAGCAAAGATCAAAGAAGAGATAAAAGAGTGGAAAGAAAAGAAGGAAAAGCTGTCATAGGTTGAATTGTCTAGACTTCGTCTTTGTAAGAATAGTGTGGAAACAAAATACTTCAGGTTGTGAACAAAATAATACAACATTTTAGAATCTTCCTTTGTAGGAATAGTGTGAAAACAAACTACTTCAGTTTGTGAACAGAATAATACATCTTTCTATGATGCTGTTGTTCATGTTCTACTCTTCAACCTTGATTTACTATGGTGCATAACAAAGTACATTAAAAGAATCAAGAAGATACGTTCGACTTACGTGTTGACGAGAACTTCGAATGAGAGCACATTGAAAACTCATTACAATTCTCAACAGTTTCCATCTCCAACTTGCGGTGGGGATTGATTTCCAAATAACTGTTGCCAGGCTCTGGCTTCTGCACACCTTTTCGTTGCATCGATTTTCTGATCTTCATCATTTCATTCCATTGACCAGAGGTCGCATACATATTTGCAAGAAGGACATAATCACTACTATGATCTGGCTCTATTTCCAGGACATGGCTCCTTACTCTCTCGCCGAGTTTAACGTTTCCATGCAACCGACAAGCAGCGAGTAATGTTCTCCATATTACAGCATTACACTCCATTGGCATGCTCCTTATCAGCTGATATGCCTCTTCCACAAACCCAGCCCTTCCCAACATATCCACCATGGATCCATAGTGCTTTAGAGTCGGTTGGACATTGAAGTGTTTGGTCATAAGATCAAAATACCTCCTCCCTTCCTCCACCTCTCCTCCATGGTTGCAAGCACACAACACTCCCAAGAAAGTTACATCATCTGGGTTCTCAAGCTTCTCTGTTAACATTTTGGAGAATAGTGTCAGTGCATCCTCTGCATCACCATGTGTAGCTAATGCCATGATCATTGTGTTCCATGTTACCCTATTCTTGCTACCCATTGTGTTAAAAATATCGAGAGCGTCTTCAACCGCTCCGCACTTGGCGTACATGTCAATCAATGAATTGAAAACAGCTACAGTCTTTCCTCTGTCATTATGCTTCACATGGGAATGAACCCACCTTCCAGAGTCTAGGGCGCCCAATGCAGAGCATGCCGAGACGGTGACTACTAGTGTGGCTTCGTCAGGCTCTATGCCACTCTGAAACATTCGAAAAAACAAGCCAAGTGCTTCCTCGTACATCCCACAAGAGACATGGCAGTCAATTACTGTGTTCCAAGCCACTAAATCTGGTTTGGGCATTTCAACAAACAGGTTGCGTGCAGTCTTAATGTCTTTCAACATGCCATACATGTGGATAAGCGTGTTCCTCACATACACATGGGATTCAAGGCCAAGTTTCAGAATATTAACATGTAACTGCTTTCCCAGGATCAGTGAACCCATTTGCCCAGAAATCTTAAGTAAGAAAGAAAATGTGAAATTATCTGCCGATATTCCCTTCTCTAGCATTCTCTTGTAAAACTCGAAGGCCTCTTGCAGCTTACTAATTCTTCCAAATCCCCTGATCATTGTATTCCAAAGAAACCCATCTGGGTTCTCGATTCGGTTGAAGGCAAGAACAGCGTAATTCATATCGCCATGGTCCGAAACCGCACAAAACTCAATGAGTTTGGCAATAACGAAGAGATTCTGATCGAAACCCGTCTGGACAATACGGGCATGAATTTGATTCAAATCTTTCACGGTGGAGCATTGCTTGAAAAGAGACAGAAGTCTTTTTTCCTTCGCAAAATCGCGGCCATTGGGTCTCGCATCAGTGGTGACTTCACTATCGGAACTGAAAAATGAGAAAATAAACTTGGGGAAAAGCAACGGAAAATGTGGGAATTTTATCCTAATTTGGGAACACAGAGAAACTGCAAAGTTTGATTTTCTGCGAGCGATAACGATCATAACAATATTGTTCAATCTCTTAACATCGGCAAACTGTAGCAATCGCAAACGCAGTAGAAAGGAAATTTTGCAAAACCCAGCGCTTAAAATTCTTCGTCGGCACCAGGGAAAACAATCCTTTAAATAAAAACTCATTTCTAATTACCACATAGACAATAATCACTTGGCCAAAATGCCTAATAGTATATTATAACAATTAATAATCAAATATTTTCCTTTTATGTACTAAAAAATAATAATAGAAAAAAAAAATTAATGCTAAAAGAGTGAACTTTATTTAGCTTGAAAATGCCAAGTGCACTGCAGCGAAAAGAATCTCTCTCCCCTAATTATTGTCTTTATTTATTGTAAAAAAAGTTGAAGCCATAATAAAACAATTTTCACTCGCAGTTAAAAATGAGGAGCAAATAATAATTCTATATTTGTCTTTAAAAATCAGATTAAAGTTGGAACTTGAGGTAAGAGTTGGTACCAAATTTGTCTTGCGTGATGACAGTAAAAAAGAACATGGGTAGTTGTTTCGAATCTTTCTTGAGTATAGGTATTATATTAGTGGGGAAATATTAATAGATTCTGTTATTTTTTAATGTGTGAAGTTAGTGGAATATTAATTAAACATGTATAAATCAGAGTTAGATAATGATTTTTACAAAATTTTAATCCAATGAATCAATACTATTTAATTGTTGTCAAAGCGAGCATAACTCAGCGGTAATTGACATATATCTCTAAGCAGGTTGTGAGTTTSATCCCCTACCTCCACATGTTGTAAAAAGATAAAAAAATAAAAACTCCTTAATTGTTCATGTTGCTGTTTTTTTATGTAGCGTAGATTTTGTTTTAATTGAATTGAGAAATTCATCAACTTGGACATAATTCAATGGATTAAAATATATATTTTATAATAAAAATTTTATGTGTTTGAATCCTCACCCCACTATTATTGTAATAAAAATAACAATTATTGGATTTTCAAAACCATAAATTTAAATAGTGAATTAATTTATTGCTTAGCGTTTCGAGGTCGAATACATTTGTAGTAGGGTTCATTCATTTTTTAACGTTTAAGTATTTTGTTGACTTTTTCTTAAAGTTGAAAAAAAGTGTTAGAATTTGAACCTTCAACCTTTTGCTTGTGTTATATATATGCTCACATTGATAATATCCTGGCGATAGAATTCTTGTAATGTCGGTTGATTTTTGGATAATTTTATAGCCTTATTTGTGGAGGGTATTAAATATTTTATTACCCAAGTTGAAGATTCAAACATGTAGAATTAAAAAATTAGATGTCAAATTCAAACTAACCACATGAATAAAATAAGTAAAAGGCAAAAATTGCACCTGCCTAGATATATAATATATGATTAATTTGACCAATGATTAATTTGTTTACTACAAAACCTCCATTAGTTGAACTTGAACCAAACTCCAAAGCTTTTTACTCTCTCAATTTTAATGTTTACCAGAGAAGTTGGTATACTTGCCAACACATTACAATCCAATCCAATCTTCTCTTTGCTTTTGATATATATGGCCATCTAAAACCATATCCTAAAAAATGATAAATAAAAATAGCCTATAAAGTTGCAACCTTTGTATTTTGGTCATGCCTACCCAATGATCTCATTGACCATTTAGACCTTATATGATAATATTAATATTTTGTTGAACTAAAATTTATAAATCGGCCTTTAACTAAAATTTTAAATAACGAAAGATTTTATCGGGTTCAAATCTTAATTATGAATATTTTTTTAGTTTTATCTTTGTTATTTGAGTTCATGACAATAACTTCAATATATTTACACGCGTTTCTTTTAGTTATTTTCCTAATCATTAGATGTCTAAATTAAATTGCGAGGACCCGAGAAAACAACTTTTTACACAAAATTTATATTTGTATACTAAACATAACAAAACTAGTTAAAATTCAAAACAAAAATAGGATTTAAACCCAAATTCATCTTCTTATAAAACCATTGAAGCTTAGCATTACACAAATATCCTAATGTCTTAAATTTGTGTGTGTGTGTGTGGTTTATATCTAAAGCATAAAGAACGTTAATTTGAAACAGTTCTGGTCTTGTCAAAGAAATCACATCCCAAGTTAGGCAACGTTTGAAAGAATATCAATATTATTCAATGTGTGATATTAATATATTTAAAACAAAATCATATGAGATAATATTAATTATAATATATGCTTCAAAGAAAGCTGACCTTTGCCTAATCTTTAATATATCTTCTTCTTTTATGTGTAGCTTTATTTTACCCAACCATCTTCTGCCATTTGCTTGTTCCCTTCCAAGTTTGCATGCTTGAAAACCATCAAACATGTGCCACCCTATGCCTAACTCAGCCTATATAACAATTTTAATTTTGTTCTTTCATGTGATATATATGATCAGTTTCAATCCTAGATAAAATTACTTTTATCGTAATTCAAATTGATAAGCTCAAGTGTGATAATGAAAGGTTAATTCTTAAATGGGAAAAGGAAATATATATATATATATATATATATATATATATATACAAGATTTAATACGAATACTTTGAAAATAAAATATGTTTACGGAATAATTAATGAAGATCTTTAATATAATAGATGTTGCTAGCAATTTAAAACTCTTATAATTTTTTTTTTCTTTTAACCATCAGATTGATTGATAAAAAAATGAAACTGCACCGTTAAAAATCATTATTTACATTTGATAGCTAAGGTATATAACTTAGAATAAATTGATTATTATATTAGGTCATGATATTCAATTAAGTGAATTTTAGATTATTCATGACAAATTTGTTTTTCAACACTACAAATAATAGCCTAGTATGATATTACATAGGTTTATATTCTAAGACCATATATAAATTAAAGATTTGTGTTAATACAATACAAAAAAATTGAAAATGGTAAAGACTAAGGCCAACATTAATTAAAGTTTGATGATTGAAATAAAATATAAACATGATCTAAAGTTGAGGGAAACTTTTAACCTAAACCCTAATAAAAATAAATGAAACTGTGGAAGAAGATGGCACTGCCACGTAGAGACGGGGGCCCAATTTTGAAGGGCCCTGATTGGGCCAAAAAGAAGGCCGGTCAACGCTGGAACGTGGTGGATTGGAACATTGACCATCAGAATATTTCCAATGTATCCCCCCCCACTCGTGCGCTCCAAATTTGATTGACAATCTCCTCTCCTTTCCTCTCTCAACTTTTATCCAATTTCTCCTTTTACCAAAGTTCTTTAAATAAAAAACTAAATATAATTTAACATTACTAACTTTCTTTGATCTAATAATGAAAAAAAGTTATAATAAAAGTTTGAATGTCTGGACTATATTCTTTAATTAAAAAAATTATATTTCTTTTAGAATATTACTTTGGAGATATATATCGTTATTAATATGTTGATGGATAAAGCCAAAATAAATAATGAAGAAGTTGTCACTCTTCCTTATAATTCAAAATATATATTTATGTATATATATTACTTATACAAATTTTCATGTTAATTTAGACTCTATTTATTAGGTTTTTTTCTCTCTCTTTCAATTATGTTTATAAATACTTCTCCCATGTGAGTGTTTCGTTAGTTTGATATCTATCTCTTCAAAATCTAATTCAATTTTGGAAAATTAAAAAAATAATTTTTAAAAGAAATTTGTTTTTGTTTTTGTTATGGGTAAGGGCGAAAAAACAAATCAAATGGACAATGGAAAGCCATCAATAATTTTAAAAATCAAAATCATTACAAATGAATCATTATATACATGAAATTTGAAATTTAAATATTAATATTAACATTTTTGAAATTTACAACACCGACAAATTTTATTCAACCTTTTATCTTAATTATTTACTAAGTTGGATGTAAAAATCCGAGCTCGTGTGTTTTGAAAATGACATTTGATTTCTTGTATTTATGATTTATCTTCGTAATAGTGACATTCATCATTTGTCAAACTAATGCACACCTATTTCTTTGACATTTGCACCAAACAATTAAAATTAAAAACTCTCACGAAATTTCAAAATTCGCAGTCAATAATTTTTTTCTTTTACGGAAGCAATAAAATGGTTGGATTCACACTTGATAACTATATATTTTAATTTTTCAAATTTAATAAAATGCTTTGCCACGTTTTTTTAATTGTTGTTTTTAAAAAACATAACAAGTAATTTTTAAAAACCCTATAATTTCGAGTTGCTTATATACAAGCCTTTTATGATTTCTTTTTCATAAAATACGTCCAAAACATAAATATTCAAAATATATCCGACCCAATAATTAAAAAAGACAAATTTTATTTTAGACTTCAGTAAAACAAACGAGTTTGTTGGATGAATTTAACGCGGGCCCACCGGATTGTTTTGGCCTTAAAAATATTATAAAAATAAATAGATGGGTTGAATAAATGTTTTTGTACTTTACTATATATTATATAAAGTTTGAAATTCAGCTACCATATAGTTTTCGTTTAATTGCGACAAATTAATCTGATTTTCCATTGGCTAAACTTCATCCTACCTATTACCCTATGGGCCGCCTAGGTCATAGATCATTGAAAACCATTTTCCATGTTCTCCCCAAATTTTATTTATCAAATCCTTCAACAGAACTTTTTTTTAATATTATAAGATAAAATTTATTGGTAAAAATGTAACATTAGGTCAACGACTCAACCATGGTAGTTATTTAAAAAAAAAAAAAAGAACTGAAATATTATTCAAAATGCTAGGGTGACTCTTATTTATAGCTTATTTAAGTTTTTTGTATGATAATTTTTTTTAAAAATTAAGCGTAAAAGACTATTTATGTGGTTTCATATATGTGTTTATTTGTTATATTATCTTTTTACAAAATGTTTTCAAAATCTAAATTAAATTTTAAAAGTTAAAAGTAGTGGTAATTTGACTAAGAATTCAAACGAGATTTTAAAGAATCTTTAAAAGTATACCAATAAAATCGTATAAATCAAGCACAATGTAAAATTAAAAAGTTATCACACGGCAAATTAGTAATTGAAGTTAAACTTCGAAAAGGAAAACTAATGAAATTACTGACACGTCCTTTGGGATGAGCTGTCTTTAGGAAGGCAAAAGAAAATTCCAATTAGGACAAAAAAAAAAATGA